AATATAGTTTATTCATCTGTAAGTTGTAGTGAGTATCTTACAGCTACTGTCTTGCCAGACTGCATGAATTATAGATGGCTCTTTTATGAGTTCTCATGTTGACTCCAGCAATTAGTATGAGTTGGACATAGTTATCTTTATGGCATCTGCTGTAGCGTAGGTTTCAGCTCTTCTGACTTTCAAATTGCTTTCTGTTCTAGCAATCAGTCATCTGCCTGTCTTGCTAAGGAATGCAAAGCAAACATGACCAGCTTGATAGAAACTTAAGAGTTCAGCCCGGAGCAGCAGGTCTGAAATGAGGTGGTTTACCAGAAGGAAAAATGACATAAATAGAGGATCTTTGTTGCTTTTTTGTTTTTCCCTCTCGTGTGTGTGTGTGTTACACACAGTAGTGCCAGAAGGATCTACATATGTTGGGGTCCTGCTCCTCTAGATGAACAGCTCAGGAGCTTCTGCCTGTTTTACAGTCCAACTACAGGCATGAACATCGTGATTTTGAGCTGTATCTACTTAATGCAGATCTGCAGGCCTGCATGGATCTTGGGATGTCTCTGTGCTCTGGACTCTGTTGGCATCTGTGGGTGCTGTTTTCTGTTTGGTGCCTCCACCTGCTCCGTCTTGGAACCGCCAAGTGGTTTCCTGAGTCTCTTGTCCCTGTGTGTGTGGCTGTCTGGCACTGCTTCCTTTTTGCAGAAGGGTTTTGTGGGTTTGAAAGGAGAGTTTCAGGTCTGCTCTTGGACTCTGTTGAGGCTGGGGTAATCTCATTTAGCTAATGGCCTTCAAAAGCTGATGGGGAGGTGCAGAGAGCACTGGAAGGCCACCATAATTTAACTTCTGGCAGCCACAGCTTGCAGCATGTAATAAAACTTTTCATAACTACTGTGTGCTGAAACAACTCAAACTTCCAGTACTCCCAAATGGCTGCAGAAACAACAGTCTTACCTCATGACTGTGACTTCCTAGTGGTGTCTGTGGGGTTTGGGTTGAATGCTGGCATGTTAATATATATATATATATATAGTAGTTGAGAGTAATTGTGTCTGCAGCTAAAATGTTTTCTCTCTTCTGACTCCAGCTGAAAAGTTTATGTGCTATTTCATTGCTTCCACTGTTCACTTAATCATACTGTGGAAGCACAAGATGAGTTTCTCAAAGCAGAGTCGTGCTGCTGTGCAGGGGGAAGTGCCTGGGTCTGGTGATGCTTTGCATTCCTGGTGGGATGGATCGGGCTGAGCACAGTGACTCACTTCAGTGAGTGGTGCTGATGTTATGCTGGCTGGTGAAGAATTGCCTGCTGCTCTGAATTTGAGTGGAGGCTACACAAGGAGGGTTGTTTAAAGCCTGCTTACATGTCAGTTGTCAGGAGATTGTAGGAGTCCTCTTCTTCCTGAAACAGTCAGCTGGGCTAAGCTGAGGAAGATAGTTGTGCTCTCCTGGCCACACTCTCCAGTCACTCAGTATGGATCTTACAGGGGATAACTTCTGTAGAACCAGTCCCTTAGTTTTGTGGGTTGAAGGATTTCTCTCACCCTCCAGTTTCCAAGCACATTAAATAGCTCTTGTGCCTCCAAACACTAGACTTAGATGAGGAGAAAGATCTGAGGTCATGAGTGATGGAAAGGAGAGGCTGTACTAGAAGCTTTGCCTATGCTAAAGTTGCAGTGATCAGGTGCAAAATAATATTGTTTCTTAAACTATGTGACTTCTCAGGAGTTACTTGCTCATTCAGGGCATAATGTAAGATAAACAAGTGCTGGTCCAGCCAGTGTTTGTAGCCTTGCAGTACAGTAGAACTGTGCTCTATCCATTCCAATGAAAGGATTTTGAAAAACCCTCTTATGCTGAAGAAATTGTGAGCAGATGTCCCTGGGGTTTTGCTCTGGTGGAATTGAGGGTGGGGATGCCTGACATCCAGAGGTTTTTTCTTAGGTTTTCATTTTGGTTTTTGTTTACTTACATTCTTTTTCCTTGCCCCAGCAGCAGGCCAGCCTCTGCCTGTAATCTGGGGGAGTTTTCATACCCTGATCATTTACTTTTCTTAAGGCTCTATTCTCTTCCTTGTGTCACCTTCTGGTCTGATGGTTCATCTGTTCCCCAATGCAATAACCTTTACTCTGTCCCCTGCTTAGTCCCATGCTTCAGACAGCAGGTTAGCAAGCTCAATTCTCACCTCTCTGCTCAGTGGAAGAGGGACCCAGTGATGAGGCTATTTCAGTCATGCCTTCAGGGAGTCTGGGCTGGTGGGGTAATCTTTGGATACACCTTTATTCAACCCCCTGTAGGAGTAAACCAGGGTGTTAGTGCAGCAGATGTGGTGCCTACTCCTGGGCAGGGCTGTTTGGCAGGCACAGAGCTGCTAACATTCATTTTCCTTCTGCCTCCCTATTTGCAGCACATTTCTAGCTCCCTCCCAGCAGTTTGCTTTCTCATGCTTAAATAAGCACAAATGCAAAGAGTGCAGCTCTTACGTAGCACTTCTGCTTATGTCATTTCAAATGCTTTAGCAGTGCCAGTTCAGTACCAGCCCCTGACACTGTGATGTGCAAAACCTGTCACTGAGGCCTCAGCATCTTCAGGTTGCACAAGATGCGTGATCAGCAATGGCTGCCAAGTTTACCAGTTGGGTTTTAATTTAGACTTTTTTCCACTGCTTAAATAGGGAGAGTAGTTGTTTGCACCACTTGGTGGCTGGCACTCCAGCTGTCACTTGGATCTGCTCTGTTTTATACCTAAGAATGACATGAGGCTGGAGCATGAGTGATGGGAGATTCACAGGGCACATGCCAGAACACACCCAGACAAGTGCACATCTCATTTCCCCCCACCCCTCCCAAACACCAAAACTGTCCCACTGTTAAAATCCATACCCCAAATGCTAGTCTGTAATTTAAAATTCCTTTGGAGAGTTGTGTTGGGAGGAGGCAAGCCTGGGGTCAAACCTTTTACAGAGCTCCTTGTGTGTGAAGGTTTCTCCAAAGCCTTATGGGCTGTGCAATAGAATCATAGAAGGGTGAAGGTTGGAAGGGACCTTCAAGATCATCAGGTTCCAACACCCCTGCATGGGCAGGGACACCTCCCACCAGCCCAGGCTGCACAAGCCCCATCCAACCTGCCCTTCAACACCTCCAGGGATGGGGCAGCCACATCCTCCTTGGGCAACCTGTTCCAGTGCCTTCCTGCCCTCATGGGGAAGAATTTCTTCCTAATATCTAACCTAAATCTCCCCTCTCTCAGTTTAAAACCATCACCCTTTGTCCTATCACTGCCCTCTCTGATGAAAAGCCCCTCCCCAGCTTTCCTGGAGCCCCTTCAGGCACTGGAAGGTGCTTTAAGGTCTCCCTGAAGCCTTCTCTTCTCCAGGCTGAACACCCCAACTCTCCCAGCCTGGCTCTAGAGCAGAGCTGCTCCAGCACTTGGATCATCTTCATGGCCCTTCTCTGGACCCTCTCCAACAAGTTCATGTCTTTCCTGTGCTGAGGGCTCCAGAGCTGGACACAGGTGGGGTCTCAGCAGAGCAGAGGGGCAGAATCCCCTCCCTGGCCCTGCTGGCCACACGTGTTTTGATGCAACCTGCCTTCTCCTTTAACAACAAGCGTGAAGAAGGTGGGAACCAAATAAGTGAAGAAGGTGGAGCTGCAGACCCACCATGGCTTGGTAGGCAAAAGCTAAGGAACTGCTGCTCTCAGCAAAGCCCAAGGTGTTGCAGCTGAAGGCCCTGCAGGCAGCGTTTGCCTTTCTGAACTCCCTGCAGCTGCAAGAGCAGCACGCCCTGGGCTCCAAATCTTTCCAGTTAACACTGAGCATCAGTAGCTTGGCTGCAGAGGACTTTGAAGTTTGGCAGGACAGCAATTGTGTGGTTGTGGGACTGTTGTGTGGTTGTGGGATCTGTTTGGAGTGTTTCCCAGCGTGGTTCCTCTGAGTCCAGCCTGTGGAAAAGCAGCTCCCTGGGAGCCAGCAGCAAACTTGGCTTTGTAACCAAACTTCTCACTTGCAGAGAGCAAACTGCTTTTGACTTTCTGCCACCCAATAATTCTCCTTGAGTGAAACATGTTTTCTTGCTGCTTATGAAATTGGTGAATTGGTGAATTTTCCCACCCAAACAGAAACTGCTCCTGCTTTGGTCTTTGTTCTGCAGTAAACTACCAACTTTTTGTTTTTTGAGAACATAATGCAAACAAATTCCAGTTTCCAGAAAGATCTTTCTGCAGCCAGAGCTGAGTCTGGACTAACACTGTTCTCATTTGGGTGGAACATGCTCCTTGTTGCAGAATAACCTATTACCCTGTTCCAAAGCTTCTGCCTTTAAATCTGCAGAGCAGGGATTATTTACTTAAGGCTTTCTGTGTGTGTTGGGGATCTAGCTTGATTTGACCCTTCCAACAGAACATAATGCAACCCACTTGCTGATGATTTGGATTCCCCCTGAAGTGTGCTGCTACCCTGGAAAGGCCAGGGCAGCTTGGGTGAGGTGGGAACAGCTCTGCAGCTTCCCAGCCAGCTCTGACTGCACCAGTTCAGCAGCTTTGAGCAAAGGAGCCTGAGCAGCTGCATCAAAACTCTTGGAGTGCAAACTTCAGTCTTTCTGCATCCTGCTGTGCTGGAGACTGATACAAACCTCTTGAGATAGTTTTCAGTAGAACTAGAATGGATCTGAGAGGTCTTATGAGGTTGGCAACTCATTGCCTGCTGATATCCTTCCTATCTTGTTTTTTTTCTACTCCCCACCCTACACTTCTGCTCCATGGGTTTTCCTGAGAATTGTCTGTATCCTGAAATGGGCTTTTCTTGATGGTCAGTAACTCAAATGCTTGAAGGGCGTCTTGTTAACAGAACAAATGGAAGCTTGAGTAGAATTTGTTGTGCTGAGACTTGGTCCCTGTTCCTATAAGGTTACAGGCTAGTCTGCAAATGCCTGCTTGTGTTTTGTTGGACAGTGTGTGATTCCAGTTTACAAACCCCAAATTCTTACGTGTTCCCTTTTTCCCCATTCCTAGTAACGGCCTCCCCAGCTGAAGATGTCTAACAATGGAGTTGAAGCAGAAGACAAACCACCTGCTCCTCCGATGAGAAATACCAGCACTATGATTGGATCAGGAAGCAAAGATGCTGGGACTTTGAATCATGGCTCCAAACCTTTGCCTCCCAACCCAGAGGAAAAGAAAAGGAAGGACCGATTTTACCGATCTATTTTACCAGGAGATAAAAGTACAGTATTTTGTCTCTTCTTAATAAACTTCTTGTCTCAATGTTGCTCTGAGTGACCTTAGTTAAACACCTGATGCTTGGTAATGTTTTAGGTTTTAGAAAATATGGTGTGTTTGTTTTCTGCACAGCTGTCTTGGGTCATTTTGGGGAGGGACTTTTTACTGGGGTGTGTAGTGATAAGATGAGGGGTAATGGTTTTCAATTGGAAGAGGGGAGATTTAGGTTAGACATTAGGAGAGAATTCTTTACTGCTAGGGTGGAGAGGCACTGAAACAGGTTGCCCAGGGAGGTTGTGATGCTCTCTCCTTGGAAGTGTTCAAGGCCTGGCTGGACTGGGCTTTGTGCAACCTGGTCTAGTGGGAGGTGTCCCTGCCCATGCAGGGGGGTTGGAACTAGATGATCATCTAGAGTCCTTCCAACCCAAACCTTTATATGATTCTATGATTTTGGGGTACATGAGGTGCTGGCTGTAGGTGTAGATTTTTTTCGTAATGTTTAATCCTGCCACAGTTAATCCATCCTGCTTATTCTGTTTGTTTTGTGCTTCCCCTCCCCCACCTTAAGTTATGAGAATAATGTCCCTGAAACCTGGGACTATCTCAGCCACTTCCCAGCCTGACTTGTCCTTAGTGATCTTGAAAAACACACTTTCTTGTACCAAGGACAAGCTGGCCAATTAAAGCTGGCACTGGCAGTTCTTTTGCTGGGGAGCAGGGGGAGGTATTTTCTTGTTTGCTGTTCTAAATAGCAAATAATTTGAGTTAAGCATGACTAACAGGCCAGCTCCTGCCAGGCATGTCATATGTTACTGCATGGTTGCTTTATTCTACTGCCTGTCTGGGTCAGGCATGGTCTACTTGCTGTAAAGAATAATCTGTTACTGCAAATTCTTGCACATTTCTTGTGAAGTGAAGGAATTTTCTTCTGTTACAGGGACTGTAACAGATGGAAATGAAGATAGGAAATGTGAACTGTACAGGAAAGTCTAATTTTTAAGATTAGGATATTTGAGAAACCTCTCTCTCATGTGAATCTTTTGGAGTCATATACGGGGAAAAAAAAATCTCCATCCTCTAATATGTGCTGGTTTCTTTTTATATCTGACCTATTTTTTGGAGTTCCTCTTTCTGATGCATGAGATTTTTGTAGAGTATGCATTGCAATGGTATCTGGATAGTGGATATCTAAAGTCAAGCCTGGGTGTCTTCAGCTTCCCGGACTTCACAAGGGAGGTTTCCTACTTGATTTTTATTCTCCAAAAGACTAATTGGAGTGATACTTCCACTAATTTAAATAAGCAAAATCTAGATTCATTTTCCACAAAGTGTTGCATCATTCATTGTTATTATTATGTGATACCTTCAGCAACTTTATCCAGCATGGATTTTTGATTCTGCAATCCATAAACCCATGAACTCCATGTTAAAAGTTTGCCAGATCTGGGTGAGGACTTGGTATGATGAATATTACTCTTTAAGAGCTGCAGGTTTTTTGTGTTTGCTTCCTTAAGGCAGTGGGGGTTTTCAATCTCTGGGCTCAACAGTTGCAGAAAACAAAATCACCTGGAATTTATAAAAGAAATACAGCTTGAAATGCTGGTTTGAGCTGGGTTTTAAAGGAGAGCTGCAAAAGTGAATGGTTTGGGTAAAATCAGCAGACAGGCTGTTGAAGATGCCTGTGTTTGCTGAAGATTGGCCAATGTGGCAGATGCTTCAGGACATGAGAGATTTTTGTTTAGCCAAGCCCAGCAGAGCCTTCTGTTGCAACACACCTGCCTGAGCAAGAGTGGTTGCTTCTGTCCTCTAATTCCTGTTAAGCAAAAAATACCTTTAACACTGTCACCTTCGCTTCATATTTGTTGATTTTCATCTTACAGAAACTTCTTCTCATCTCATCAAAAACAACTGAATTCCCAGTGCCTCCTGCTGCTGAAATGTTAATCAAATTCCCAGATATTCAGATACTTCTCTTTGTTTTGTGCCTGAAATTATTTAGGTGTTATCTGTTAGTTTGGCTTGACCAAAAGGGGAGTTGATTTCCATTCAGTTAGAGGAATGTAGCCCAGGGGACCAACCACATCCTGGCTGCATCAACAGAAGTGTGGCCAGCAGGGCCAGGGAGGGGATTCTGCCCCTCTGCTCTGCTCTGGTGAGACCCCCCTGGAGTGCTGTGTCCAGCTCTGGAGCCCTCAGCACAGGAGAGACATGGAGATGTTGGAGGAGGGCCAGAGGAGGCCACAAAGATGATCCAAGGGCTGGAGCAGCTCTGCTCAGGAGACAGGCTGGGAGAGTTGGGGTGTTCAGCCTGGAGAAGAGAAGGCTCCAGGGAGACTTGATATCAACCTTCCAATACCTGAAAGGGGCCTATGAGAAGGCTGGGGAAGAGCAGTTCACAAGGGCATGTAAGGACAGGACAAGGGATGGTGGTTTCAAGCTAGAAAAGGGTAGATTGAGGTTGAACATTAGGATGAAGCTCTTTTATATGAGGGGGATGGATCAGTGGAACAGGTTGCCTAGAGAGGTGGTGGAGGCCCCATCCCTGGAGATATTACAGGTCAGGCTTGATGGGGCTCTGAGCAACCTGATCCAGTGTGAGATGTTCACATTGTAGGGGGATTGGACTAGATGAACTTTAGAAGTCCCTTCCAACCCAAGACATTCTGTGATTCTATGGAACAAAGATAATTGGGAGAACATGAACTGTTTCAGGGGTATGAAAAGAACATAGGTCATAAATGCAGAAAAATCTCTCCTTGTTTCTATATGGCAGTGCAGCCACACTGAACTTCTCTACCTGTGTGTTGAATATGAACTGAAAGGTGGAATGTTGATGTGACCGAGATCATTATATTAATCATTCCCTCCAGAACTGTTTTTCTTGCTCAGTGTAGCTAAGGCTTGTTCTGGCTGTTGTCTCCTGCTTTGGATAAATTAGCAGTCATCTCAGTTTGCTGGTGGAATGGATACTGGAACAGCTGGTTACAGAGGAGTTATTTGGGATTTGGGTGTGCAGCAGGTAGCTTGGGCTGTCTGAATGGAAAAATAACAAAACCCACAAGTGTTTTGTCTTCTGGATAGCAACTTAATGCCCTCAAACTTTTTTAGTGATACCTTCAGGTCTCCTGTGGCAGCTGTCCTGGACAATGTGTGGTTTTGCAACACCCATGCAGCTCTCCTGCATAGTGGTGCTAGTAGAGGTGTCCTCTTCTTCCTCACCTGAGTGTTGGGCTTCTAGGCTGAGCTGAGGCCTCACTCTTTGGCTTGGAGGAATGGACTGATCCTGCAGAGACAACTGTAGAACAAGTTGCCTCAACTGGCTCGCTCTGCATCTCTTTTCCTCTTGCTTTCCACCCACCTCTAGTGCATTCAGCCTTTTCTGTATACCTGCTGGATGCAGCTGCTTGTTCCTTTTCTGGCAGGCCTCTGTGCTGCAGATGCTCACCATCTGCTCACCAACAGCTGCTTCTGTCTCCTTCTAGCTCCCCCCCTCTGTGGTGGCTCCTCCAGCATTGCAGCTTTCTCTCCTCATTCCCCTTGGCAACTGTCTCTCTTCTGCTATTCGGCTTCCCCCAGCCCCTGTGTTTGAAAGGGGGATCAAAACCAATCTGTTCTATCTTCATGTCTCAAATGGAGTATCTGATCCTTTAATTTTTTTCCAAAATTAGTCTATGCAGCAGTAACTCTGTGATGATGCAGAGACCAGTGCCAGAGCTGGCACTGAAGGAAGAGGAATTCAATCCTTTGGGACAAGCTCTGACCACCTCCACACAACTAACCAGCAGCATTGTCTCAAGTAATTGTAATGCTGAGGATTAGCTTCACAGGTTTCTGAAATACCTGGGGTTTCACCTGCATGTTGCCAAAAATGCACTGGGGAATGTCAGCCATGAAGTAAAATCTATGTGGCTTTAAATACAAAAGGTAGCAGGTGGGAAACAAAAGGGCTTTGGTCACTTTCTCTTTATGATTTAGCTCTGCTTCTTCCTAACTGCAAGTAGCAAATCTGAGTAGAACATGGTTCTTCCTTAAACTGATCTCAATTTCTTGAATACAGTAAATATTAAAAGGAAGGTGGAGTCCTTAATACATTGTAAATATGGATGAGCTTAACCCAAAGCATTATTGTATAATCTTGTTTGAAGAGCTGAAAATTTGCAGTGTGCATCTGCTTTGACTTATTTCCTTTCCTGTTTCTTCATGACTTCTGCTCCTCACCTGCCAGATTCTGCCCTCTTGCTCAGTGTCTTCAAAGCTTGTTATTAAAACCACATTTAGGTAGAGCAGAAAATATAAATGGTTTTGCTCATAGAAGATTTGGTAGCAGAAGCACATGTTTGGTTTTCTTCTCATAAACTCAGTTTCGAGGAAGTAGGATGAAAGGAGCAATTTATAAGCAGTATTTGTAGTTAATTTTGTCCATGTTTTGATATGAGAGTCAAAAGTATATTTAACAGCACATCATTTTTTTTAAAGTTGCTTAAAACAACAAATAAAAAAATGTGTTCAGAACTGCATGGCTTCCACTTGTGGCCACTCTAGAGCTTTTGACTCTGATCTTTGTAAGTCTGAGTGAATATTTTAGGTAAATAGCTCTTGTGCTGTCGAGTCTAGCCCTGCCTGTTGGTACTTGACATACCCAAAATGTCAATTTCCTTCTCTTTTGTTTGTCCTGTGTTACAGGACATAGATTTTTGTTGTCCACCCACTGTGGCTGCTCTAAAGGGAACTGATAAAGTTGTTAAACTTGCTCTTTGTCTGCCCCGGATCAAAATCCTATGAGGAGCCAAAGGGGGCTGTGGTTGGGTAGGTAAATTGGAAGATACTGGGGAGATTTTAATTCTTGATGTATTTATGGATAATTTTTTAAAATTATGATTGTTGTTGTCTCTTCCAGCCAATAAAAAGAAAGAGAAGGAGCGGCCTGAGATCTCCCTCCCTTCAGACTTTGAGCACACGATTCATGTGGGGTTTGATGCAGTCACAGGAGAATTCACAGTAAGTGAAAAAAGAAGTGTGTGGTTTGGCTTACTGCTGGGAGGAGCCAGGAGCCATTAATCTTTTATATAGTAATGCTGGAAAGGCTATTACCATCAGCTGGTTTGATCTCCTTTGAAACACAGCTGCAGAGGTTAACCTGCTGAGAGACTGTTTGTCAAACTTGGCACGTCCCAGGAGCCCAGGCTGCCAGCAAACTTTTCCTTTCCTGCTTTTTTGGCTGATGTGGACAGCAAAACATGGCATGTCTCTCCTCCCTTCCCCTCCCCTTCTACAGCTGGATTAGGTCTACAACATAAAGTGTATCCAGCAAGTGGGGCTCTCAGAGTTTCCCCCATAGGAGACACACTGCTGTGCATCACTACTTCACAGAACCACTTAGGTTGGAAAAGACCTTCAAGTTCATCGAGTCCAACCATTAACCCTACTCTGCCAAGTCCAGCACTGAGCCATGTCCCCAAGCACCACATCCAGATGACTTTTAAACACATCCAGGGATGGTGACTTAACCAGCTCCCGGGGCAGCCCGTTCCAATGTCTGACGACCCTTTCAGTGAAGAAGTTCCTCCTAATGTCCAGTCTGAACCTCCCCTGGTGCAGCTTGAGGCCATTTCCTCTTGTTCTATCAGCAGTTACTTGTGAGAAGAGACCAGCACCTGCCTCTTTACAATATCCTTTCAGGTAGTTGCAGAGGGTGATGAGGTCTCCCCTCCCTCCTTTTCTTTAGGCTAAACAATCCCAGTTCCCTCAGCTGCTCCTCATAAGACTTGTTTTCAAGGCCCTTTACCATCTTTGTTGACCTACTTTGGACACACTCCAGCACCTTGATGTCTTTTTTGTACGTGTGTGTGCTGTCCTAAGGCTAAATGTCAGATGCTTTCATGGCCTTTTTTAATTGACATGCAAAATACCATGAAGATCTGAGTTGTGTTTCATCATATAATTCTTCTTAATTTGGCGACGAGACAGTGTTTAAGAGCAGCAGAAGTTGTTTGTGAGCAAGGTGTTTTTAACCTGTGTTTATTATGGTTCTTGTTCAGGGACTTTGCTCTCCTACCTAATGATGTGTACAGTTGCATGGCAGGCTCTAGACTGGCCCAAGTTAGCCTAGATGTAGCAGTGGGGTGTTATCTGAATGGTGTTTGCACCCATACAGAGACTTGATGGATAAAGGATCCCAGTCCCCTGCCAGTTCATCTTTACAAACTGCTCCTCTTCCTGGTGATGCAAGACACAAGTCTGGTTGTATTCTAGTTGTATTTATTTTCTGGCTGAAATTATGTCCCCATAATAAAATTCTGAGCTTCATAGGTGAAGTTAACATCTCTGCTTCCCTGACTCTTGTTACAATAGGCACCAAAGTGCTGTTACCAAAAAGCTCTTGTGCTACAAGAAGACCCAAATGAATGTTGTGTGTCTGTTGTGGTGGATACTGTACAGTGCCTGTTACTTCCATGATCTTTCTTGGACATGTGTAAATATGCGTGTATTTGGGTGTAAAGGTTTATTTTTTTTTTTGTTTGGGGCTCTTCCTGAACTGCAGCATTTCTGGTTTTTGAGTTCTGATCTTTAAATACCTGGAACTCACCCAGAGCCCTGTGAGTCGAGTGGTGTTTGTATGTCCATGCAAGGACTTGTAACTGATAATGGCCAGGAAGATTTTTGAAGTATTATTTAGTTCTTTGGAAAGGGCAGTTTTCTCCTTGTGTCCATCACAGCACTGCAAAACCCCAGAAACTGTGTGACAAAACTGGTGGTGAGTGTGTGGGCTGTGAACCCTGTTAGGCTGACTGTGAGCTAATGAGCTGCAAGAGGTTGGACAGGACCCCTGAGCAACCTGGTCTAGTGGGACGTGTGTGTCCCTGCCCATGCAGGGGGGTTGGAGCTAGATGATCTTTAAGGTCCCTTTCCACTCTAACCATTCTGTGATGATTCTCTGATCTTCCCACAGGGAATGCCAGAGCAATGGGCACGTTTACTGCAGACTTCCAACATCACCAAGTCAGAGCAGAAGAAGAACCCCCAGGCAGTGCTGGATGTGTTGGAGTTTTACAACTCCAAGAAGATCTCCAACAGCCAAAAGTACATGAGTTTCACAGGTACAGAGTCATCATCACATACAACTTGTTTGTCCAACTTCCCATTAGTTGCTGAATGTGGGGTTTCCTTCATTTAATCAACAAGTAGATCTGTCTTTTCAAGGAGAATGTGTCAAGTATCCCTCCTCCTTCAACATGCTGTTCTCTTAATCCTGATGCCCAGCATGGCTGCAAAAGAGGAGGTCAGTCAACTGGCTAAATCCTCCAAAAGATAGGCTTTCTGAAGCTTACCAAGAGCATCTGGAAAAGAGTGTTGGTGTTGGGTTCACAGTGATGAAAATCCTGGAAAAAAAAAACAAAACAGCTAAAATTTGCTCCAGTTTTAGTTTCCAGTGTGGGTGGGGATGTTGCTTCATGCATGCTTGGGGTGAGGGTCTCTCTGCTCCCATTGAGCAGTTGGCCTCATATCAATCTAGATGCTTGATAATTGCTGTCTGTTATCCCTAAAAATGAAAGCTGCCAAGGCTTTGTGCCTTCTGGATTTGAAGACTCCTGCATCCACCACTCCTTTTCCCTTTCAAGTCTAACTCCTTCCCTTTCTAAATATTAATCCCTGCTTTGGTTCTTTTAAGAAGATAGAGCCATGTCACCAGAGCTGGTGTTAATTAGGAGGGCTCCAGGCACTCATAAGAACACAAATCTTCCCCTCATGTTCCTGGATGGTCAGACAAGAAGCCCTCTAGTTGACTTGTTGTTTCTTTTGTTATTTCTTCTATTGTTTCTTTTACTCCAGGAAGTTTGGGTGGCTTAGACAAACATCTTGCAGATCTTGGCCTAACTGCAATCCCTCTGCTGGTGATTTAGCCCATTGAAAAGATTTTGTGTATATGGGCAGAGAACAGTGTTCATCCAGGTGTTGCTCAGGGAAATTCCAGCCTTCTGCAGCAGGGATTCCAGGCCCCTGCATCTGCCTGAGAAATTCTTGACACCCTATTCCTGTATTTGCCAAGTGTCACCTTGTTCTCAGGAGCTGAGAGTGATTCTTAGATGTGTGAACAACCTCTTTTCCTGCCCCTTCTGAGGGGAGCTTGTACCTTTCTCCTCTCCCCTTTGCTGCTGCATTAACGACTCACTTCTAAATAACAACATTCCTGGGTCTCTTTCAGATAAATCAGCTGAGGATTACAATTCATCCAATACATTGGTAAGAGTTATATTTGCATTCTGTTTCAGGATTTAAAAACTTGCATGAAGTGGTGTTAGCAATGTGTAAAATTCTAGTTTGCATGTGTTTTAAAATCTGAATTATAAATATATTTCCATAGTGAATATATGTCTATAAAAATGGGCAAATCATCCTAAACAGGCATGCTGCTTTTTTTTTGGTATTTTTTGTAAGTGGGGGAGAATCAGGTAGACAGAAGACATTTTTTTATTAGTGAATCATGAAGTAGTGAGTAGATATTAGTGAATTAAGGAACAGAAATAGTTTGCTTTTTATAGAAGTTGATCTGTTCCTGTACTTAGATTTTTATAATAGCTCTGCTTTCATGTTTTATGTCTCTGTAAATATCTGTGTTCTATCTAAGTTTAATTACTAACCTGCAAGGTCTGATTGACCAAAACTCATGTAGATGAGTGTTGATTAACCAAACTAATCTCCAGCAGAAAAGGAAATAAAACGTTCTCCTCCTTTCTCCTTGACCTTTAGTCTGTCCTTCCCAGGGCAGGCTCCACTCCTGTTTGCTTTGTTAGGAGGCATGAGCTGGAAAGCTTTGTGATGGTTCTGTATGTGTGTATGGGATGGGAAACCCAAAACTTTAAATCACAGAATTACTTAGGTTGGAAAAGACCTTTAAGATCACTGAGTGCAACCATTAACCGTACTCTGCCAAGTCCAGCACTGAGCCATGTCCCCAAGCACCACATCCAGATGATTTTTAAACACATCCAGGGATGATGACTCAACCACCTCCCTGGGCAGCCTGTTCTAATGCCTGACAACCCTTTCAGTGAAGAAGTTCTTCCTAATGTCCAGTCTGAACCTCCCCTGGTGCAGCTTGAGACCATTTCCTCTTGTTCTATCACCAGTTACTTGTGGGAAGAGACCAATACCTGCCTCTTTACAATGTTCTTTCAGGTAGTTGCAGAGGGTGATGAGGTCTCCCCTCAGCCTCCTTTTCTTCAGACTAAACAATCCCAGTTCCCTCAGCTGCTCCTCATAAGACTTGTTCTCAAGGTCCTTCATCAGTTCAGTTGCCCTTTTTTGGATGTGCTCCAGCACCTCAATGTCTTTCTTGTACTGAGACTCATAAAACCCCACAATTCCCTGTTTTCTTCCTGCTTTGCCATTATCTAGAGTTGGCTTTTCCTGTTCCCTTCCAGAGGCAGCACAATCAAATCTTACTGTTTAGGACTCTCTACGAAAAGAAAAGGAGAATGTTTCTGCTGTTGTTCATTGTTACATGTAATTATACATCAGGCCTTGGGAGCTTAGAATATCTGAGGCTATTGAATTTTAAAGCAAATCCTGAAAAAAAGCAGTAGTTGCCAGTCTGCTGAGAAAGCCTGATGTTTTTGGAAGACACTGGGTAATGTTTAATTTTGGTTATTTGGTGATTTGGTAAATTCAGGAGATTCTCAGTACGTAGGTGTGTTTCCTTGTTGCTTTTAGCAGGATAGGTTTTGTGTCAAGTCCTGGGTGCAGCTCTGGGCTGCTCACTTCAGGAAGGATCTTGAGGTGCTGGAGCAGGTCCAGAGGAGACAAGGAGGCTGGTGAGGGGACTGAAGGGAAAATCTGATGAGGAGAGGCTGAGGGAGCTGGGCTTGTTCAGCCTGGAGAAGAGGAGACTCAGGGGGGACCTTCTCACTCTCTACAACCACCTGGAGGGAGGTTGGAGGCAGGGGGGGTCGGGCTCTTCTCCCAGGCAACCAGTGACAGGATGAGAGGGCCTGGCCTGAAGCTGCTCCAGGGGAGGTTTAGGTGGGATATTAGGAAGCACTTCCTCATGGAAAGGGTGATCAGACCTTGGGATGGACTGCCCAGGGAAGTGGTGGAGGCACCATCCCTGCTGGTGTTCAGGGAAAGGCTGGATGTGGCACTTGGTGCCCTAGTCTGGAGATGTGGTGGTGTTGGTCATGGGTTGGACTTGATGGTCTTAAAGGTCTTTTCCAGCCTCAATAATTATCTAATTCTGTGTTATGCCAAGTGCACTTTAGCAATTACTTGTCAGAATGTTGGTGAATTCAAGTGGTTTTGGGTCAGTGAAATGTTACTTTTTTTCTCCCCTCTTTCAGAGAGGACTTTTAATAATTTTTCCCCAGCCACTCTTAGGGAACTGAAGGTGCACAACCCGACCTGGTCTAGTGGGTTGAGGATCTCACCAGCTTTATTGTGAAATGCTTATAGGATGCCATGAGCTTCAAATTCAGTTTCAGATTTACAAGGCTAGAAGTGGCTTTGATTTCTAATCACACTATTGCAAAAAAAAAATTGAGATAATTTTCTGTAACCACTTATGAAACTTAAAAAATTGAATTGTTCCTATTTTTCACAAAGTTTTCTCTTGGAAAGCAATTTCAAAAGAGATTGGAAAAGATTTTACCTAATTCTGCTTCCAGGTCTCTCGTTACTTTGTTCTGAGTCACCAAAGCTGATGTTAACTTGACCTCCCAATTTCTAGGGGAAACATTCAGATTTTGATGCAAATTAAAGCATTTAAAAACTGAAATCTCCCATCTGCACGATCAAGGTTTGGAGCAAAATTAAAAGAGGCAACATCAATATGAAGAGAAACGTCTAAACCCAGATATTGTCTGCAGAGTTTCTGGGTCTCTGTGCAGGTACTGGGATGGCAGTGAGAGAACCCAGGTGGGTCTCAGGTCCTTGGAAGGGGATTTCCATCAGAGAGGCAGACAACAAGCTCAGAGCTGTTGTGTCAGGCAGTGCTGGGCTGCTCCTCCACTTCCCACAAAGGCTCAGGATCTTTGGGGTGCAAATTTTTCAGACATTGTAACTTTCTCACCTGTTCTGGGTGTTATTTTTCTGCTCTTGCTTCAGTGCAGTCTCCATTAGGAGCTTCAGCTAATGTGTGTGGTTCTGTTTATAACAAGCAATTGAATTGTTATGTATAATTTGTGCAATGACATGCAGAATGTGAAAGCTGTCTCTGAGACCCCTGCAGTGCCCTCAGTGTCTGAAGATGAAGATGATGAAGATGATGCAGCTCCACCCCCCGTGATAGCTCCGCGACCTGAGCACACAAAATCTGTGAGCAGAAATACTTCCTTCAGTCCACACTGTTGCACTCATGGTCAGATCTTGGCTGTGACTCCTCATCCATGCTGCACAGATGGTGCTGAGCCCTTCCTGGGAGCGGGAGGGTGGAGGTGGGAGCCATTTCTTCAGGCAGAGCACTTTCATATCATCACCTGCCTGGTTGTGGGGGGCACAAGAGAGTCCTAACCATAGCTGTTAACCATCAGCTATAGAAATACATCTCTGGCAACATGAATAACAACAAGATGACTAGAAGTGACTAAGCCTCCATCTGATTTGTGCTAATATGTGTGTTTTTTCCTCAACAAAATTAGATCTACACCCGCTCTGTGATAGACCCTCTTCCTCCTCCTACCAGAGATGTGGCGACCTCTCCTATTTCTTCTCCCTCAGAGAACAGCACAACAGCACCTGACATGCTTGTCAGGAACACAGAGAAGCAAAAGAAAAAGCCAAAAATGTCAGATGAGGAGATCTTGGAAAAATTAAGTATGTCTTTTTTTTTTTTTTTTAAATCCAAAATCCAGACAACATTTTGCAGCTGTGATCTCAGTAGCTTCTTCCCCAACAGATCTGTGCACCTACCAGGAAGATTGTTGATATAACCTCCATCCATCAGGAGATGCCCATCCTTTGGGTCACAGAGAGGAGGCATATACCCCGAGAGGGACATGCTGGCACGGACATACCTCCACAGGGAGCCTGCAGGAACCAGAGGCAGGGAATGGCAACAGTGTTAATTACTGTAGGTAGGGCAAGCTTTTGCCAACCATAGCTGTTAACCATCAGCTATAGAAATACATCTCTGGCAACATGAATAACAACAAGATGACTAGAAGTGACTAAGCCTCCATCTGATTTGTGCTAATATGTGTGTTTTTTCCTCAACAAAATTAGATCTACACCCGCTCTGTGATAGACCCTCTTCCTCCTCCTACCAGAGATGTGGCGACCTCTCCTATTTCTTCTCCCTCAGAGAACAGCACAACAGCACCTGACATGCTTGTCAGGAACACAGAGAAGCAAAAGAAAAAGCCAAAAATGTCAGATGAGGAGATCTTGGAAAAATTAAGTATGTCTTTTTTTTTTTTTTTTAAATCCAAAATCCAGGTCCTGCTGTGTTGATTTCTCACAACTTTAAGAAGCTGAAATGTTTTGACATTCTCATTTTGAGATCACTTATTGAAGACATTTTGTTGTGACTGGGTGCCAAAACTGGGGGCAGATGTAAAGAGGGAGCATAAATGTAAGCTTGAGCACCTGTGGTACCAACTGAAGCCCCTGGGGAGTTACAGACCCTCAGGCTCTGTGAAACAAGCCCTGAATAAGTGGCATCTACTTAACTATGAAGTCTGAGATTGTTCTAGTCTTAATATTCTGTAGCTCTGCAGCATGGGTGATTATACTGAAGTATTAGGTGAGCAGAGCTTCCTACTGTGTCTAAAAGGAGGAGAGAAAATGAATGCATCCCCTAATTTTGTCTTCCACAATCCCATGTTGTAAAGTGACTTAGTTATTTTTAAGTGCCCTGATGTGGGGACCCAAATTAGTGGTGTTTTTCTGAGAAAAAAATCACTCTGTCTTTCTCCTGTGTCCTGGTGTCTTTAATACTCCCTGCCTTCAGTTCTGTGAATCTTTTAAAGTGCTTCTCTGCTGCTTGGTATTTTTGGATTATGCTGTGGCATATCTGACAGCTGAACTAGCTCCTCTTTGCTATTGATTGCTGTCCTCAGCCTGGGCCAGTTTTTATTAGGGTTGGGCATTTATTTGAACTGCTAATCCTGTATTAATGACATACATGCCTTGCTTCTCAGTTGATGTAAATGGTGTTAGATCCCCTCTGGTCAGGCTGGTCTCCTTGGTTGAGGGCACATCCCTAAAGGTCAGTCAGTATTTGATGAAGCACAGACTAGCAGCTCAATGAAGGAAAATTTAATCTGAGGGTGTAACTTAAAAAGTAAAATAAAATTAAGATGGCACCTGAGTACCTCATTCCTCTAAATTAAACAGGTGACATATGAGCTGGAGCTGCTTGATATTGGAAAACTCATCATTTCTGAACAGCAGCTTCACTCACTTAATTATCAGGACTTGTGTACATGAAGGATTCAAGCCATTTTTGTCACCAGCTGGGGAAACGGGGACTGTGGCAAGAAAAGATGCCGCTCTGATACAAACACACCCATTTCTGTAACAAAGAGAAATGCAGGTGCCACTCTTGGGATTGTTGGGGGGCAGATGTGCCTTCTGACACCTTGGTGGCTCCAGCAAGTGGTGTTCAGTGCTGAACTTGTTCTTTAACGTGGAGGAGTCTCATGCTAAATGTACAGGTGTGTGTGAGGCTCAGTGGCTGTTGGTAGGTGTCAGCTTCTAGATGTGGGCCAGTCAGAACTGTATGCAGATGTTTTTCCATTAATCTTTCATGTTTTGGTTTGACATATGAATAAAATGCCTAAAATCTAAAAGCATATATATTGTTCCACACACTGAAGATGTGCAGAGTTTGAAAGGAGGCTGAGATACCTCCACCTCTTAGCATTAACACAGCATGGGTGCAAACATTAATGAATCCTCACCTGAGGTAGGAAATATCACCCTGTGATAGAGCATTAAGGTCAGAGCATTAAATATGGCAAGACTGGCATCTGCCTTCTGTCACTGCAGCACTGTCCTCTCACTGCCTCAGGGAGATGTTTGCCTGTCTCTTAACAGGCTGAACTTGTAGCTTGTGTTAGTCTTTGAGGGAAAGTTTACATCTTTTACTCAGAACTGCACGTCCTGAAGGCAGGCAGCATTGCTTCCCTAACTGTACAGTGGGGTTTGTACACATTTCTCTTCCCACCCCCCTCTCCAAACATGGACCACATTCTCTTTCTTTACTTCTGTCTGCCCTAAACCCTGTGGGTTTGGCTGCTCTCCAGTGGAATCTGAGAATAGCCTGCTCTTGCTTGCTACTGGATTTCTTGGCCTAAGGACCATGAGCAGTTTCTTTGCCAACATACATCTGTCTGGGCTCAGCCCTAGACCCCTGTGAAAGCAGCACCATATGTTGGCAGCTCAAGTGACTTGCAAACACCAACTGGGATGCAGCTCTACATCCCTGGTGCTGGTAGAGGGGAAATTTGTTCTCAGCTGAGCTCTAGGAATTGTTGGCTTCAACTGCTTCAGCCTAAGTCAGTGAAGGTTTGAAGGGAGTGCTGAGTTTCAGTGATGCTCCTTTTGTCACCTCCTCCAGTTTCCCCCTGGGCAACCCACCCTGCCCTTGTGCTGAGAGCCCCCTCCCCTCATACAGAAACACAGTGTGTTCCCTATGGATACCAAATCCACATTGAGTCTGAGCAGCCCCTCACCTTCCTGCTCTGCAGGGCACAGAGCAAAGTGCTTTTCCCTCTGAGGGACACACAGCAAGACACTTTTTTTCTGGCTGAACATTAGGGGAGGATGAGCTGAGATGGCCTCATGTTGCCCTCCAAAACCAGAGCTGTGCTGCAGTCCCATGGTAACTGCTGCTAAAACCTGCACTGGCTCTTGGGTTCCTAGAGGAGCAGCTGAGCAATGCCTGAGTCAGGCTGGGGGAGGTTTGGCTCTGAAGGATCTCTCAGGCTTCCCTCCTGAGTCTTGCAGCCCAGCCACTGGCTCAGTAGTGACTGTGGAAATGTTGTAAATACTTTTGTTCTGCCAGAAATAGTCATGGTGGAGGGAATTTTTTTACTTGATTTGTGGCAGACTGTTGGCTCTGGAATGAATGAGGCCCTGGCCACCAAATTCAGAGGCTGTTGCAGTGCAGGGACATCTTAGATCAGCTGAGTGTGACTTTAAAGTTGCAGGTTTCCAGCAAATATTTAAGTGTGTGAGGGCCACGTATCCCCACCCCCTGCCTAGCAGGGTGCAGCCACTGGCTGCTAGTGAAGATTAAATGTGCTTCGTGTCTGTATCCCACCATTTCTGAGGGGAAATACCTATAAAATAGGAATGCCACAGCTGGGATGTGCATAAATAACTGAGGACTTCCTTGGGCTTCATGTACTGGATTTCTAACGAGTGATTCAGGAGGCTCAGCAGAGCCTGCTGTGCCTTTGGGGCTGCTCATCAAGCACATTTGGTTCTTACAGCTGCATGAAAAAGTACTTACAAAATCCTCTTGGGTTTGTGTTTGTTGTGTGTTGGTTTTTTTTTGTAGGAAGTATTGTGAGTGTGGGTGACCCCAAAAAGAAGTACACGTGTTTTGAGAAGATTGGACAAGGGTTAGTATGCACTGCTTCTCTGGCCTTTACCTTTCCTTTTGCTAGGAATGCAGCCCTGGAACCAGGGTAAGGTGATTTGCTGGAAAAGCTCTTGGTGATGATTTTGTTTGGTCTTTTTCTTTTGTGTTTTTTGGGGGTTTTTGGTTGTTCTGGTGGGTTCAGTGTCTCCCTGCCCTCCCCCAGCTCTTCTGCCTTTCCTGGCAAAGCCTTGAGTCGCAGGGACTGGGTTTTTTTTAAATGCAATTGTGTTTTTAATATGAGGAAATATGTCATTAGGGGATCAGGTTGTTAAATAGAACTGCAAGTAGGGATGGAACTGCTGATTTTCAGCACGCCAAGCCATCTTCAAATTGTAGCTTTGCTTTCTGAATCAGCTCTCCTTGCTGTGGGTGTTGTGCCCCTCTTAGCAGGGTAGGGCAAAGCAGTGCAGATAACTGAGGGATTTGCTGTCAGCTCCATGTGCTGAAGCTCAGCTTCCCATTCCCCTCACTACAAATGCCACATCTATTTACTTTAGCTGATCTTATCTGCTCCATAATCATGCTGGGCAGCCTGCAGGCTGGGCCAGTGCAGTCCTGCCAGTTTAAATGGGATCAACTCAGTCTTACAAGCTGTGCTAAGTTGCTGGTTTGGCAGCAAGGGTTTGGATGACCATAGTGTCCCTTGTTAGGAGCTTTGTTCCCCATAAATTCTCTGGCTTCTGCTCCAACAGCAGCCTTGGCTCAGAAATACTTCAGACTATATTTAACACTGGAATTGTTACTTGGAAAGGAATGGGATTGAGAGCACTTGAGACAAGTGGGAAGGGGCATGTGCTAAGCTCTCAGTCTAGCTATAAGGTGTTTTTTTGTTGTTTATTTATCTTTTCTCTCTTATTTAGAGCCTCAGGTACAGTTTATACAGCAATGGATATAGCTACAGGACAGGAGGTAAGTGCTGCCAGAATTCCACAGCAGTGGATTTTGGCTTGTGTCCTAAAAGTTCAAGTTGGTGCTACAAAATAAAGACAGGCTTTCAGAGGTTCATGGCATCTTATTTTTAATTACTTACTAATGAGACATCATTGAGTGGTCTGAGCAGAGGACTGGAAAAAATGATTTCCCCAGTTTTGATTCCTGAATAATTTCATATTTGCAAACAATCCTTCTGTGACCACAAAGGCTGAAAGCAAAACTTTGGACCAGGATGATTCCTCAGTAGAATTTTACCTCTTCATCCCCAAGATTTTTGCCTGTTCCCTTTTCAACTTTTATATTCCCTTTGCTTCTTACACTAATACTAGTTGACTTGCATAGAAATAGTTTCTCTCCTTTGCAAACTTGCTTTCTGCCCTGGAATTGAGACAAGGATTGTCTGTCTGTTGTGTTTGGTTTTTTTCCTCCTCCCAAACACTGGAAGGTACCCTGTTCATTGCCTGCATGCATAATAAACCAGCAGGGAGGGATGAGCAGCATCTGTGGTAACTATTACTGCTAGGTGGAGGATTTTAAAAGAGGGAATAGTATGCATTATTCCCAATATATTTATGGAAGTCTGCAGCAATGCCTGTCTGCTTTGCATTTATACAATGTCATGATTACCCACTAGTAAGTGTCATAACTGTGCTTTTTTGCTGAAACTCCTTCACTCTGCTTTTCTAGTTCCTGTGGAATTAGTACAGTTTCATTGCAGCCTCCACAAGGGGCATTGCATTGATTTTGAAGCAATGAGAAATTTTTTAATGAGAAAAAACCTCTTTGGTTTTCTGCTTTCTCTCTGGACCTCTTTGGTGACTCCCACGTGGATATTTGAACCCTTATATTACAACAGACTTTGAAATCCTTCTCATTACACTCGTGTGATCAGGCCCTGGATTTTTAAATTTGCATTTGGGATTGCTGGGATCATGGAATTCTGTTGCCCTCTTCCTTTCTGTCAAGCACTCTGCTAGCAATCCTGCCAGGTCAGGAGCTCAGTTTTGGAAGCACTGGAAGGAAACTCCTTTATTTTGTGCTGTGTCAAAGCCCTGAGCAGCTCCCAGGATTAAGAATACTGAAGGTTTTCACTGGTGATGGTTGTTTAGTATAACTAGAGGTGTTTGTTTTGTGTCCTAATGCATGGGACAGGGTTAGATAAGGAAAATGCTCCCATGTGCACTTGGACCCTAACTCTGTAAGATGAACAGGGGTGATAAAGTATCAGAATCTGCTGAGCTGGAAGGGACCCATCAGGATCATCCAGTCCAGCTCCTGTCCCTGTGTAGGACACCCCAAGAATCCCCCCATGGGCCTGAGAGCATCATCCAAAGGCTTCTGGAACTCAGGCAGCCTTGGTGCTGTGACCACTGCCCTGGGGAGCTTGTTCCAGTGCTCAACCACCCTCTGGGTGAAAAACCTTCTCCTGATATCCAACCTAAACCTCCCCTGATTCAGCTTCCTGCCATTTCCCCCAGTCCTGTCATTGGTCACAGGGGTACAGGGACCTCTCTGAATCTCCCTCAGTGTCAGTCTGGGATTTCTTTATGTGCATCAAATGCCTTTCCTCTCTTTGTCTTTCATTCTTCTCTGTTGTCTTGTGCAAGGAGCAATGTGGAGTTTTTGGTTTTGTCTTCTTTAAGTACTGTTTGGCAGCCCTTGTGGATCTGGTGGAGAACCAGTGTGGTGTCTGCCTGTTCTTGCTTCCTTATGTCTCAGGGTTTTCCTGTGGTCTGCTCTGCTATACTATCAAAATGCTAATTCTATCCATCTATAGTGGCACTTGTTTCTTTTAATCCTTGTTTTTGTGAGCAGAAGTTACTGGCCTCTCTCCATTCACCTGGGCCTCCTTCTCAGCAAGTAGTGGTTTTGTAAAGGAATAATTACATTTCATTCCCTTTGCCTAAATATTGTACCAGACACAGCTGGGTGGTATTGTCTATGGAAGTGTTTCTGCCTCCTGCTGTGCTGATTCATCTTATTGATTTGAAGGCTTGTCTGAGGGCCAGGTGCTCTCATGAAGTGCTGTTACCATGGAGAGCTGAACATTGGAGTTAAAAACATGTTGCATCTTCCTGATTTTTGCACATACACGTGCAGAATAGGTAGAGTGAAGCAGGCAGAAAACTGCTAAGTCAAAGGGCTGCAACTGTTGGATCTGTCCCTGTTTCCCTTCAGTTATGACTGGGGAAAAAGCTGAATCCAATTCACTTATTTCAGCCTTTTATCTGAACTCTGGTGCTTCTTTCCCCCAGGTCTTGCTGTGGCAGAAAGAAATAGAATTACCACCTTGAAGTATTAAACTGACTCTACCTTATTTACCCCATTCATGCCTGGCCACCCTGCTGTAGATTTCCAGAAGCACAGACTTGCACAGGAGCAGAAAAAAAGCCAACAAAAAACTTCCAGAAACATCCAATCCAAATTAAATTCATAGGAATCCTTTAAGAAATAAAAAGGTTGTGGCTTATTATACTAGAGTTATGGGATCTTTTTACTTCTTACCAAGAAGTTGTAGATGGAGATGGCAACTGGGCCATAAAAGTCCAGTATGAAAATAGGAATTCCCCTTGTGCACTTTGGCATTAAGGATCCTCCAGCAGGTGTGGAAATGGACTGACTGCAGGAACTCACAGACTTCCTGAGCAGCCTGTGATGAAAAAGTGTTTTCCTGCTTCACATGAACGTGGGACCAAAATAATGGGCAGTGGTGCTGGCAGGTTTTGGGGGGGGCTCCTGTAATAATGCTTTCCCTGGTCTTTCTTCTCTGCAGGTTGCAATCAAACAGATGAATTTGCAGCAGCAGCCCAAAAAAGAACTGATTATTAATGAAATCCTTGTGATGAGGGAAAACAAAAACCCCAACATTGTCAACTACTTGGACAGGTATGTTGTGAATTGAAGAGTTTGCAAAGGGACTCTGGGAAACAACTTCCTTGTCTCTGTCTTCAGTGATCCTGTCTCAGCTTAATGCAGGTGTAGAGCAGCCTTGCATTGCTCAGGGCTGGGCTGTGGGTGGCTTGGTGGTCTCTCCATAGGTGTCTGAACTGGTATTAATGGGTATCTAGGCTCTCTTTAGGGATGTTGGCAGCACAGGCATTAACAATATGCTCTCAAGACTCCCATTTTTCAGCTCTCTCCTTTGCCAAATTAGACACAAGCCAATTCCCCCCTGTTACTGGAGGAGAAATAGAAGCAGTTTGAACTGTGTTTCCTCTTCTTTCCTCTTCTGTTGAGCAATGCTGACATTCTGCTTGCAGAGGAGCAAACTGCTTCCCAGGTTAGATGATAATCTTGTCCCTTGACTGTCCATTCAGGTTTTTTTCCAGAGTAGCAGAACAGTGATGAGGGTGAATGACAAGTGACACATAACCAAGCAAGGCTGCTTTCTTGTGGGTGTGAACAAGGGAGAAAAGACTTGGTACAGACATAAGAACTCCTTGGAAGGTGGAAGGAACAGGGTTATTCTTTGATCAGAGCTGGGCTCTGTGGGCTCAAACATGAGCTGTGCCTTGGGTGTGTTGCATCCCTATGGGACAACTCTTCCTTGAATCCCTGCTTTTCCTTCCTTCACCTAATAGGTGATCTATGTACAGGTCTGCTCTGCTTGTCCTTGAGCTGATGTCACTTGCACTGGGACAATGATGAAGCAGAAGCAAGCAGACCAGTGGCTGCTGTGCTGAATGTAAATTGTTTTTAAAATAAATACATACCTGTGCAAATGCTGGTCACTATAGCTCAAGGCAGTAAAATGCCCAAGTCTCCAAAAAAATGTGGCTGTATGAGCTCTTCCCCACAAGATGTTAAAGCTGTAACATGAGGGTGATGGTAGCAGTGCCACAATCATCAGCTCTTTGGAGCCTGACAACTTGGGAAGAAGCAACAGGTAAATGTGGTTTATGGGTAGGGAGCTGGGGTAGGAAAGTGCAAGAAATTCTTGCATCTCCCCTATTGGAATTCCAGGAAACAGCTGTTAACTGTCAGCATTGAAATCTGGGGTAGACTGAAAGCCCAACAGGCACAACATGTTGCAAGGTAGCTTGAATTCCCCATCAACATAACATGGGTGCCTGGTGTCTTTCACCTTCTGTGAAATATGTAGCTACTTTCAGTCAAATTGCAGGAGGATTTTTCAGTCTCCTGCACACAAGTCAGAACCCAGTGGTCCTGATAAGCTACAAGTTGGGCTTGTTGTAGGGTAAAGAATGCCTAGATAGGGTGAGCTGTAGGCTTTCAGCTTGGCAGCTCATTTTTTGGGGAAAATGCAACAGAGGGATGTGACCTAAAATCTCTTTTTGAAATCTGAGAGAGCATTTGCATGTTAGCTTGCTCTGCATGCAGATTAGAATCCTGTCAGCTGTTTCTTTAACAGGTTTTTAATGTCTTAGCCAAAAAAAGTACTTCTCTGTGTGGCAGAGAATTGTTTGGGAGACACATTCTTCCCACTGGAGGGAGCATCACTGAGTACATCCACTTGCCTTGTCCAGCCAGTCCATCCCAGCTGTTGAGTAGCTGCACATCCCACTGGCTTGTTCAAACGTCCAGCAACAAAAGCTTCTGCCTTTGTCCTCCACTTTCTCTCACTAGTCTTTTTCAGACAGATTAGCTCTTGTTTTGTGCTGCAAGTAGACAGAGCAGCTATCAGGATCAGCGTGGGGATTCTTGTGCCTACAAGAATCAAGTTTTGCTCCCCTGTTGCTGTTGTCCCTCCTACCTGGCCTGATGTGCCTCTTTGCTTCCTGAGCACTGAATGAAGCTGATATTTGAGCACTGCCTGCTGGCTTCTGCCCACTGCTGTCACTGATGGAAGTATGAAGAAGGATGCTCTTGCCACTGTGGGACCTGATTTCTTTTTTATGGTCCAGTTTTTGACAGTGTCTCCCCTTCAGAGTCCCTAATGGGAGCTGCCAGATAGTCATTGGTATAAACCAGTTCTCTTGCTTCTCTTTGCCTCAGCTCCTGCCCTTATGCAAGGGTGTCCCGTGCTTTATTCTCTCTTACCAGCATGGCCTACTTGCTTGTGGCTAAGAGGTCTGGCTGCTTTACTGTCCCCCCAAACATCACTGTGCAAATAGTGCATTTATACCTCAGACAGCTTTGGTGCTGCAGTACAAGTGGCTGGTGTTGCTGGGACATTTAAGGTAGGGAACATGGCCTAATTCAGCTGAATGTAGAAGCATCCAGCTCTGATGACAGTGACACTATTTTTGCTGTGCAGACAAGCAGCCACTTGTGCTGAGTTACCTTCTGGAGGTGCCAGTTTCTTTCTACTGTGTGAGAGAGGCCTTCAGATCCCTACTTGTAAACTCAGACAGAGGCAGCAGGTGCTCAGTGTTAGGCAAAGCCAAACTCCTGCCCTTTGGTTTCTTTCTTTCTGAAGAACTCTCCTTAACATCATAAACCCCACAAATCCTCCCTTTAAGGGGTGTGGCCACGGTTTCCATCACTCCAACTCCAAACTCAACTGGGGTTGGAAGGTCAGTGAGCAAAGCTGAAGGTGTGTGACAGTCCTGAAGGGAAACACTGATTTCTTGCCAGGTTAACATGATGTTGGCACGTTGGAGGCACGTTACTGGTGCAGGAATCTGGGGAAAAACACATTTCATAAAGGTTATCAAGAAAAAAAGGACTCTGACTGACTGCTGTGTGTTTGTGACAGGAATGGCTTGGTGGGCACCTTCCTGAAGTGGAAGCTGAGATAGACCTGCCAAGAGCAGGCATCACCTGCTCTTACTGGTGGCTGAAGAGAAAGCTGTGGATCACCTCCTGTGTGGCCTGCCCTAGGTGGTCCTAGGGCTGGGCTAGATGATCTCTAGAGGTCCTTTCCAACCCCTAATATTCTATGATTCCTTCTTCCTCCAAGACTTCTGTCAGCTTGTTTTCACTTCCAACCTTGTTTTGGAAGGTGACTGTGGGTGACAAGGTGTAACACCATGCTATGCCTGGCATCACATGGAGAGCAACAGGCAGGTGTGTGACTTTCTGGTGGTGTCTCCAGAACTCCTGAGAGAGTGATTTTGAGTCAGGCAGCTCAGTGCCTAAAACTGGCCTCTCCTGCAGCAAGAGAGTTAAAAGATCCCTGAGACATCAACACTCAGTCTTCTGAAATGACATTTGCTGGGTGGCAGCAGGTGGGAAACCACCATTAATTCCATCTCCCTGCATGTTAGGTCAGATCTGTCAGTTTTTCAGGTGCCTGGGTCTTGGCACAAGCCTTGGGCTGCTCATGGCACAGCTTTGGTTCACAGTGTGGTTCTTGGCTCACTCCATCCTTTCTGGCTGTGGAGAAATACCAGCTTGTTCCCAGTACGTGCAACCTGAGATTGTCAAGCTGGAGTGGTGAAGCCCATCCTGCCCTCATCCTTGCAGTCAAGTGGATTTGGGCTGCAGAGAGTGCTGGTGGCAGTGAAGGGAACATTGTGATGCCCAGTGTGACACTGATTTGTTCAGAGGGTGCTGAGAAGAACTGTAGAGAGCCTGGCTTGGCAGGAATGGTGAAGAAGCAGGAACAGCATAGGGACAGGAAGGAAGGGTATGGATGGAGGGGTTTTCAGAGTCTGTTAGAAGGTAGATGACCCACAGAGTTGGCAGGAGTGCTTCTGGAAGCAATCCCACTGCTCCTCTCTCACTTTGAGGGGCTGCTGTGTGGGTGATACTGCTTTTGCTGCAGTCTGTGCTGCCAGGGGATCAGCTTCTCTTCTGTAGTGGAACAGGAGATCTGTCTGCCTGGGGAGCACAGCCCCTTATCCTTGGGCTTTGCATCCAGACCCTGCCTGCATAGTCCTCAGCATCACCAAACCAAGATACCATCTTTGTCGGGGAGCACAGCCCCTTATCCTTGGGCTTATCCAGACCCTGCCTGCCTAGTCTTCAGCATCACCAAACCAAGATACCATCTTTGTCTCTCACATTAAAAGCTCTACATGACTGTAATGTTTCTGTCACACAGCTCAGATGACATTTCTTACTTTGGGGGAGTTTTTCCATCAGCTCAGGTGTTGTCAGGGTGTCCTTTCAGGGTCACACTGTACCTCCTGCCCACTCCTGTGATGTTTTACTCATCTCTGTCTGCTTCCCATGCCAAGTTGGGCTTGATAACTTTTTTCTCCTTCACTGTTGCTTTCTAGCTAATTGTTCCCTAGAACCTTTCCAGCTTTTTGCTTTTGGCTCTCTGCAAATTTGCTCTTCACTCTTCAGTAGGGAAGTGTTTCAGAGCAAAGCAAATGTCTTCTTGATGAACTCTAATGTCAGCAGAAGCTTTTTATTATTAGATTCTGTGTCCTTTCTCTCTTAACTCGTGTCCACTCACTTTAAAAATGGGAGGATGGACTCAGAAGGTGAGTTTTCAAGCTGGTGATTCCTTCCTTCCTTCCTTCAGGAATGTGTCATCCTGATGTATCTGTCATAGAAGATTGTGTTGATGTTCTTCCAAATGGGCCCAGAAAAGCAGAAGTAGTTGGTGGTCTGGATTTGTCTTTTTATTTCTTTTTATTTCTTTATTTTTTTTAAATGAGTTTAGTCTTCATCCCAGGTCTTCTTTTTTTTAGACATGAACACACACACTCCCAGCAGAGAAGAATATCCCAAATGGCTGAGAAAAGTCACCCTCCCTTCATCTGTCTCCTCCTCATCTTCCTACCAGCCTTTTTGACTTCTTATTTTCTTTAAAATGGCTGTTGTATCCAGCAAGATGTCCTCATTTGCCCTTATGAATGGTCCTGAATTTTTCAGACAAAATCCCAAACTGGTTTAGTAGCATAAAAAGGACTGGAGTGATTTTCAAGTGCATGGTGCTTAAAAAAACCCCAGGTGTTCTTTCTCAGTTACTCACAGGCAGCAGCCCGTTGTGTCACCCAGCACTGTCCCTTGCTTTTATGGCCAGGGAACTTGTAGTTTGCTCTCCCATTACCTCTCTCCTTGACTTTCTGCTCTCTGCTCCCTCAGGCTGTGATCAGATCCCCCATGTACAGAAGGTACCTGGTGCCCCAGTGCTGTTAAATATGCTCCTCCAGCCTCATGGTTCCTCTGCACTCCTAAGACAGCTGTGAAACCTGGTGCATTCTGGCTCTGCAAGCATTGGCATGCTCATACTTGCTGATTTAAAAACCTGGGTTTTGGCTTTTCAGTTACCTCGTGGGAGAAGAGCTCTGGGTGGTGATGGAGTACTTGGCAGGAGGTTCCCTGACAGATGTTGTGACAGAGACCTGCATGGACGAGGGACAAATCGCAGCCGTGTGTCGAGAGGTAAAGCAGCACTCACACCCAGGGGGGGGCTGTGATTGGGAAGGGGACATCAGTTTTCCACAGCCTGTCGCTGGCTCCACAGGAATATCTGTCTCCAACTTCTGTAATGCAACAGTCCATTCTTTCAGAGGACAGATTTCATCTGGGAGGTTGCAACATGCAGTCCTAATGTGTTTCATGCTAGAAGGGGGACTGGAGTGCAGAATGGGGTTGGAATCCCCTTGGTTATACCTGTTCTCCAGGTCTTTTTGGGACTAACTTGTCCTCCTAGGACCTGCTGATTCCAGTGGGGTATCTCTCTGTAGCCCTGCACATACTGAACAGGTGATATCTGAGTATCTGAAGAAAGCTGGGGCAGGGCTTTGTACACGGGCGTGTAGTGAGAGGACAAGGGGCAGGGGTTTGAAGGTTAGAGAGGGGAGATTCAGGTTGGACATTAGGAAAAAGTTCTTTCCTGTGAGGGTGGTGAGACCCTGGAACAGGTTGCTCAGGGAGGTTGTGGGAGGTCTTCAAGACCAGGTTGGATGGGGCCTTAAGCAACCTGGTCTAGTGGGAGGTGTCCCTGCCCATGCAGGGGGTTGGAACTGGGTGATCTTTAATGTCCCTTCCAACCCAAACCATTCTGTGATTCTGTGAAAAAACATCTACTGTGAAAAGACACCAAGCCCTTGCTACTCAAAATGCATATTTTTAGGAGTCCATTAGTTGGCTAATTGGGACTGCTTAATAATTTCATGCACAGTAAAGAATATCTCCTTTTTTTGATTTGTATTTTTTCAGTGTCTTCAAGCTCTGGAATTCCTCCATTCAAACCAAGTTATTCACAGAGACATCAAGAGTGACAACATCCTGCTGGGAATGGATGGCTCTGTCAAATTAAGTATGTGGGGGACATTGCTGGTGATAACCTGAGTTCTCAACCCAGGCCTGTTATCTGCTCTGCATCAGGCCTATCAGGGAGATGAGTGTTTGAGGTGCTTGATGCTGTGTTGATGAAGAGGCTGTAGAAATGCTTCTGTAGGTATCTTTGTGAACTGATGCCAGGCTCTAAGTGAGCTTCCTGTAGGTATCTTTGTAGCATTGGTTTTAGTGGAAGTTGGTGAGCCTGAATCCTTGTGAACTGATGCCAGGCTCTAAGTGAGCTTTGAGGTTTATTTAACTTTGGGCCATCTTTTTTTGTGGACTAAAATAACAGCATTTTAATGCTACTCCAGTCCAGAAAGTTGGGTTTGAAGCTGTAGGGCCAGAAGTCGTTTATTTAACTTTGGGTCATCTTTTTTTTTTTTTTGTGGACTAAAAGAACAGCATTTTAATGCTACTCCAGTCCAAAAAGTTGGGTTTGAAGCTGTAGGGCCAGAAGTCTTTCTTTGTGAGCAACCTCTTCAGTCTGGAAAATACTGCAGGTATTGGGGGGCAGGGAGAGCAGGGGGAGAACTGAAAACTGTGTAACTAGAGGACATTTAATCTCACACCACCAATCCAGTCTGGACTCTAAATGTTGTGTCCTCCTTGTGTTATCACCAGTAAGACCATGAGACTGTTCTGCCCCTCCAGTGCTAAGGTGGCTGTTGTTGCCCATGGAGAGAAAAGTCTGGGAACCAGTGAATTATTATCTTCCACCTTTAGCTGTAGCAGAATTGTGCTCCCTTTCTCCTCCTCTCAGTTCTATTGGCAAGCACCCAACAGGCATAAATAAGTCTATTTTTGTCCACAGTGACAGCAGATATGAATGACTCAAAATTCACACAGTGCAGATATGCTGAGTAAGAAGGTGGGATTTTTTTTTTTTTTCTTTGCACATAATTGCTTTTTAGGCTAAAGCTGTTCTTTGGTGCAGTCAGATCTCTGGAGTGCTAGCAGTGAATAGCTGATCAGGGCCAAAGTGTTCTTATGGAATGACTTCTTTGAGCACAGGATGCAGGTACTGGACTAAACAAGTCCCTGTGGATAAGGATGCAGTAACCTTTTGGACCTGAGCATCTTATTGGCTCTGCTGGAAATTTGCTCTGTTCATGAACCATATGTACCTTTCCTGGTTGTTACCCTTGATGAAAAACTCAGGTAGGGATTAGCTGAATTGTCATCACTTTGCCTAAAATTAGACCTGTGGTGCCACAGGGGGTCAGGATGGGCAGTGCATCTTGCTGTGCTGATTCTGCTGGCCCCACAAGGACAGAATTAGTTTTCTTTTGGCAATTCAAATGCAGATAAGACACAGGACCCAGCAATCATGGAGTGAAGGCTCTCCACCTTTCTTATTATTCAAATATTAAAATAACTGGTAGGTAGTAGTGTAGGCACTTTACATTTATTCTGAACCCTGTTTGCTCTGTAAAGAGAATCCTGTGTGAGGGATGAAATATCTACTGGGGAGGTAATATCCCTGGGACTATAAATATCACCAAACAATGCAGTAGGTGGGCTGGGGGAGTGTATCTAGATCAGACTGTGCATTCATTTCTGCTCTCACATACCCAGGAACAACCTTTAGACAGTTCATTACCCAGTGTGTTACAGCTGCACAACTCTGCAAGCACAGCCAAGTGTCTCGCTGACCCCTGTTGTCCACCTAGACAAGGCAGCAGCTCTGTGAGCCTGGTGGCCTCCAGGAGTCAAATTTAGATACTTACTCTGTGAGCTTGGTGGCCTCCACGAGTCAAATTTAGATAATTCTCAGCACAGTCTTCTGTGTTAGCCACAAAACCACCCCTCCTTTCACAGCTGCAGGAGCCACGCGCCGGGCAGCGCAGGCGGGGAACACGTGCTGCAGCTCTGGCACCAGCAGGTGTTGGGTTTGGAGAAGCTGGCTGATTGTTTTTTTTTTTGATGGCTCTTTCTCTCCCTCTCCTTGAATTTTCCAGCTGACTTCGGCTTCTGTGCCCAGATCACTCCTGAGCAGAGCAAACGCAGCACCATGGTGGGGACCCCGTACTGGATGGCGCCAGAAGTGGTGACGCGGAAGGCGTACGGGCCCAAAGTGGACATCTGGTCTCTGGGGATAATGGCTATCGAGATGATCGAGGGAGAGCCCCCCTACCTCAATGAGAACCCCCTGAGAGTAAGAGAGTGTCTTTTGCAACCTCAGGTCTTCGCTGAGCCTATTGGTGAAACCAGGCTCTGAAGGAGGAGGGTGAATCCTCCGGTGTGGTTTCGGCAGGTGCAGCCCTGGGTGACTCCTTGGGTGTCGTCAGGAGATGGGTTTGGTTAGTTTTTAGGGCCACAAAGATGATCCAAGGGCTGGAGCAGCTCTGCTAAAAAGACAGGCTGAGAGAGTTGGGGTGTTCAGCCTGGAGAAGAGAAGGCTCCAGGGAGACCTTAGAGCACCTTCCAGTACCTGAAGGGGCTCCAGGAAAGCTGGGGAGGGGCTTTTCATCAGATAGGGCAGTGATAGGACAAGGGGTGATGGTTTTAAACTCAAAAAGGGGAGATTGAGGTCAGATATCAGGAAGAAATTCTTCACCGTGAAGGCAGGAAGGCACTGGAACAGGTTGCCCAGGGAGGCTGTGGCTGCCCCCTCCCTGGAGGTGTTGAAGGGCAGGTTGGATGGGGCTTGTGCAGCCTGGGCTGGTGGGAGGTGTCCCTGCTTATGGCAGGGAGGTTGGAACCTGATGACCTTTAAAGTCCCTTCTAACCAATCACCATGATTCCATGATTAGTTAAAATCCATAGTTGGCTTCAGGTAGCAGTGTGGGTTCCTCCTGTTGCAGACCCTCTGGTCAGCTCTGATGAGTTAGATTGTGCACACTCATAATTTCCCACTTCCTGATAGAAGCAGAAAGGGCACCTGATGGCACCGAAATACCTGACTTCTCAAATCCTTGTGCCCTGTGAGTGGGGAAAAGTTCCTAAGTTTTAAAATATGACTCGTTACTATTCCATAAATAGAGCTTTTTCCTATTGGTGGATTGTTCCTCCCTGCATGCTCCAAAGAAAGCCACAAACTTATTAAGTCTTTAGGCAGGATTTAAGCCTCCCAATGGCTTTCCCTTGCTTAGTTTCTAATGAAAGGGGAAGTGCTGTCAGTTTGTAGGGATGTGACTGCTCTCAATAGAAGCCAGGATTATGGCTTCTCCCTCAGCCACACAGAATGAGAGGATCTAGAAAAGGTTCTGTTGAACTTTTGTCTCCATCTCTTGCACTGGGAGTGAATTTTGGGAGAGAAAAGCAGCGGCAAAGAAGAGTGAAAAGAGAGTGGGTGTTAAGTGAGAGTAATTAAGTAACAGTGCTTTGGCCTCAGTAACTCAACTTGTGCCAGTTCCTAGACTGTCAGGCTGCTCCCATGGGATGTGCTGAGGGACATGCTTGAAGGGCCTGCATAGTAGCAAGTCTCTGAAGATTTTAGTTGCCTTTGGAAATCCATCTAGGGAAGTTTCTTGCATGAAATCCCCAAGTGGATGAATTCTGAGCCCTTGATTCCTGGAGGGAGTGTGTATGGGAATGTTTCATCCCCAGGCAATAGCAAACCTGCTTGTTTCTGCAGGATGTTAAAAGCTGCTTGAGGGTCTGATGGGCATCTTTTGTGAGGAGGTAACTGCATCTTCCTCATATTGACTTCTTAGGCCTTGTGCGCTCAGGCAAAGAACTGACAGAACAAACTCTTCTATTTATTCAGGGGTTCCTTCCCATGAGGATACAGTTATTGCAGGACTCCAGCCCTGGTAGTCATGCCAGTTAACTTCCCTATGTAAACATGGTCTGGAATGTTGTTTTTGTCCTCCTAATCCCTTGAGAGGGCTGCAGGATCCAAACCCAGATTATGAGAGTAGAACAAGAAAGGATTGGATCCCATCCACATGAAAATAAGGCTGGCAGCTGCTCTGTTTGCTGAACCTTAGGCATTGATTAGTCACCCTGATAAGGTGGGATTTCTTTTCCTCCCCATTGACCAGGGGGGAGGGAGAGGAGAAGTGGGTGTTTCCGTTAATCCAGAGCTGGAATCTAAACCTTCATAACATCCTGTTTCTTTGGTGCTTGTTTTTGCTTTAGGCCCTGTATCTCATTGCTACTAACGGGACACCAGAACTGCAGAACCCAGAGAAGCTTTCGACCATATTCCGGGACTTCTTAAATCGCTGCCTGGAAATGGATGTGGAGAAGAGAGGTTCTGCAAAGGAGCTGCTGCAGGTGGGTGATGGGGAGCAGGGAACCAGAGCCATCCTGAGGGAGGCCAGGCATAGGGTGAGATCTTGTTTGGGGGTCTTAAATGCTGCATCAGCTGATGGCACAAGCTCAGCTAAGGTAACCTGGCCAGGAAAAGCCAAACCAACCCCAAAACCTGAATCTGTAAGAAAGTGTTAGCAAACTACTCCTTTTTTTTTCTGCTGTCCTTGCTACAAGCAGCAGCTGTGCAGTGTGTTCTGTAACAAACCTCCAATAGGAGCTGTGCCCCAGGGCTGCCAAATGCTGAGCTTCTTCATTCCTGTGGCTTCTTCACACAGCTGGCCATGACATCTGTGTGTGTGTCCTCATGGTCTGGCCAGGCTTGTGCCAGTTTGGACAGTAGGAGGGCTTCCAGCTATCCAGTTTTTTTCCTTTCTGTTGGAGGAGACACAAAGGAAGATTGGGAGTTCTTTGGAAGGTGCAGGGCTTACATGAACCAAAGTAGTTTGGTGCTACCACATTTTGCCAGATACTGTTCCTTACAGAGGTGATGGAGCAAAATTTGCGAGATACCCCAATGATAGACTGGTTTGTGTTGGAAAGGACCATTCAAGATCCTCTAGAACCCCTCCTACCATCAGCAGAGACATCTTTCACTAGATCAGGTTGCTCAAAGCCCTGTCCAACCTGACCTTGAAGACTTACAAAGATGGAACTACTCTGAGCAACCTGGTCCAGTGTCTCATCACTTATTTCACTGAAAACCTAGTGTCTTAATCTGAACTCTTGGTGAAAGGGGAGGACCAATCTGCCAGGCTTTTAACCAACCTGGATGAGATAAGTGGTTTGTGTTCCTTCTGTCAAACTTGCCATGGAGGGAGAAAATGCAGCTCTTTTTAAAAAAAATCTGTGATCAGAAGCACTCAGGCCTCAGCTGTGAGACAGTTCCCTTTTATGTTTTACTTTCTTTCCACCAATTTATCCAGCAGATTCAGGTTTGGATGTGTTGCTGCCTTCTCAGGCTGTAATGAAGCATTAATCACTGGCAAAAGGGCAGTAGTTGAAAGATCACTTTTTCTTCTGGACACCTCAGCCCCAAAATATCAAAGAGCAGTAAAGTTCTGTTCCTCAGACCAGGAGAACATTTTGTCTGTAACATTTGTGCTTGTTTTTAACTTCCTTTTAGTCTCCGATTATTATTTTTTCCACCATGTCTTAAGTAGTGTTGCCTTGGCTGATTGATCCCTTCTGATGCTCAGAAGTCCTGTGGGAAACAGTTGCTTTTTGTTTTCAGAACAGCTTGTAGACTTGCCCTTCATGCCTTCACTTTCATCTGAGAGCTGGTTTAATATTGTTTTACTTAACAGAGCACCTTTGGTAGGAGACTGGCCAAATGGTTCTGTCTTGCAAGCTCTGTGCTGCTCTGCTAAATTCCAGCTGTTACAGCAGGAAGACCCAGGGCAGATCACACAGGAACGTGTCCAGATGGGTCTTGAAAGTCTCCAGAGAAGGAGACTCCACAGCCTCTCTGGGCAGCCTGTCCCAGGGCTCTGTCACCCTCACAGGAATGAAGTTTCTCCTCATGTTGAGATGGAACTTCCTGTGTTGTCACTTGGTGCCATTTTCCCTTGTCCTGTCACAGGCACCACTGAAAAGAGACTGGCCCCTTCTTGACACCCACCCCTCAGATATTCATAGACATTAATAAGGTCCCCTCTTAGTCTCTTTTCCAGACTAAACAGCCCCAGGTCTCTCAGCCTTTCCTCATCAGACAGATGTTCCAGTCCCTTCATCACCCTTGTAGCCTCCATTGGACTCTTTCCAACATATCCCTATTCCTCTTGACCTGGGGAGCCCAGAACTGGACACAATGTTCCAGGTCTTACTAAGACCACTGGACAGAGTAGAGTGGGAGGAGAACCTCCCTTGACCTGCTGGACACTCTCTTCTCAATACATCCCCAGGTACTATTGGCTCTCTTGGCCACAAGGGCACATTGCTGTCCCTTGGCTTACTTGTTGTCCACCAGGACCCCAAGATCCTTCTCCATGGGACTGAGAGGTGGTTCCTGCAGGAAGCCCTGCTGCACAGGTGGTTTTTAGCACACCTTCCACATAGAATCTCACTATAGATTTTGCAAGACTGTATCATTTTCCAGGGTAGTTAGCTGAATTTCCCTCGGTCTTGAACACGTGCAAACATGGGAGAATTCAGCCTGTGTTGGGTGCAGATCTGTCCAACACTTCAGGCAAGGTCCAGGAGTTTGTGGTGCTAACAGGCCTTTTGGTTTCACCTGCTCAGAGATCAGAGTAGGTTGTTAGACTTTGTGTGGGTCTAGATGCCAGGGCTTTGAGCAGCCACCAGACTTCACAGAATTGTCATAGTTGGAGCTCGTGAGTCACAGACCTCTTGAGATCTGGGGCATGTTCTGAGAAGTTTAACCCTTTTTCTTTTTTCTTCTTCCCAGCACCAGTTCCTGAAAATCGCGAAACCTCTGTCTAGTCTCACTCCTCTGATCATTGCAGCTAAAGAAGCAGCCAAGAACAACCATTAAAGTGATGGAGCCAACACAGCCATCCTGTCAAGACTTCTAGATGTTATTTTTGGAGGCTGAATTACCTGCCCCTCTCTCCTTCTGCTCCTTCTTCACAGGGGTATCCTTCAAACTTTGACCTGCCCTGAAGGGTGGCACATATTGTTCTCTGAATGTGGAAGGGCACCCAACAGGGACATTGCAGAGTGACCTGTCTTTCCATCCTCATGATGGGGGTGAGATGGGAAGAGTATTTTGTATGGTTGAGAAGACCTTCCTGAGAACATCTGAACCTGACCTACCACCTAGCGAAGCCAGTTTGTTTCCATGTTGCTTCCTGTGTTTATTTTTAAAAATATGTGGAGCCTTAGACCATGTTTATCTGAATAAATTAATTATTTTACTGGTTGGAGTCCTGCTTCTGGCAAGCTGCTGTCACACCACTGAGGCTCTGCTGTGTGCTTTGGATGACTTGAGGAAGGAGGAATTCAGGCAGCAGAACGTAAGCAGCTGTAACAACTGAAAGGGGAGCAAGGGTGTGAATGTACAACCCTCCTACAGCTCTTGCTGGATGCTTTGAGGGAGAAAAACCTCAGTGTGCTTCCTGCAGCCTTTGGAGAACACAATTAATGGACCATCTTTTTGCCAAACTGTGAATTGAGGGCCTCCCTCCTTGTTTAGTTTCAACTCAACCAGTTAAACAAATCTCAAACATTTCTGATGTTCTGGAAGGTAAATCATGGGAAAAATTGACAAAGAGCTCTTTTTAGGGTTATTTTATCAGTGCTGTGAGGCTTTGTAGAGACCCTTGCCCTGTATGATAAAGCAAACAGAGCAATTACTCTTAAAAAGATAACATTTGCCTGCAAAATGATGTTGAAAACTCTTGTTTCTTAGTGCAAGTCCAATGGAAAACAAACTGAAATCCAATGGAAAACAAACTGATCGTGGATGCTGCTTTCTTGGAGATGTCTTGGGGACATTAATTTTTTTGAAATGATAGTGGTTTCTTTATGCTACTGATTCCTTTGGTTGCCAATAGTCTGTAAAACAAGAGGAAGCCTGGAACTACTAGAGGGATTGGTTGTAAACACTGGGTTTATGTTCAGCTGTATACTGATTTTTAATAAAATGACTGCTGCGTTTCTTAACTTGGGGCTGAGGGAGGATTGTAGACTTCCTTGTCACCAGACACATCTGGTGGATGAGATTATTGTTCAGTGTCATTCCTGGGTGCTCGGGTGGATTGGGTGAAGTAATTCAACATCTCTCTTGCCTTCTCTGTAGTCCTTTGGAACAGCGAGTGGCTCTCGAGGGAGTAACTTTACACACAGAAAAAATGGACACAAGATCTGGGTTGTAACTGGAGGAGCTGCTTTCTCTGTACAGGTTTGGTCTTTCATGGGGTGAGTTTCAAGCCCTGCTGGAGTTACCTCTCATCTCTCTCCAAAGCACTTGGGTTGCACAGAAAATCATTCCTGCATTTTGCTGAGACCTGCTGCTGGCTCAGCCCTTTCCTCCCTGCACCTGGGTTTTAATTCACATGTGTTTTTCCTGTTCACTCACCAATATGTGACAGCTCTGACACTAATTTTACTGGCTGTAGATAGTTTGTCAGGTTTTCTGCTTCTGTGGTGCCTTCTCTTATCATTTGTGCTTCAAGGTGGCTTCTGTTTAACACAAGGCTCAAGTCTCAAGTCCGTTGCCAAAATCTGCAGCATCTGTGTGTGTGTATATATATATATTTCATCTCCATACAATATTAAGGGTTTCCCCTCAAAGCTTGTATAATTTGTGCTTCAAGGTGGCTGCTGTTTAACACAAGGCTCAAGTCTCAAGTCCATTGCCAAAATCTGCAGCCTCTGTATGTGTGTGTGTGTGTGTATATATATATATGTATTTCATCTCCATGCAATATTAAGGGTTTCCCCTCAAAGCTTGTATCCCAGGATGAATTCCTTGGGCAAAACAGTAAAGCTGCCAGCCTGGAGAGGGATATGATCAGTTGATGAGCTCTTCTGCTTGGAGCTTAGGTGGAGGTTGGGGAATGGAAGGCCACTGCCCTTTAATAATTACCTTGATAAGGACTTGGTTTATATTTCCTCCAGAAGACTCAAGATGGCAAATGCAGGAAGAAAGAAGCTGGGAGCTAGATCACACCTGAGCTGAAAATCTTGCATGGCTCTGGTTTTACAGCTTTGGTGATTCCTTTTGACAGCACAGGATGAAATCTCATCCACAACTTCCTCTTTAACTCCCTTCCCACTCCATCCCCTGTCCCAGGGAGATGAGAACTTTACTTCATTATGCCTTGTCTGCCAGGAAGCAGGTGAGCAGAGTTTCTGCTGTATTTCTCTGGAGGAGGTAGAAAAGGTTACTTGTACTTGTTTAAGTTGCTCTTCTGGTTTCTTTAATGGAAAGGAATCAACATGAATGACTGTTTATCCCACCTCTTGTGCCACTGCTGTGCTTCTGTCTCTTTGACTCCTACTTGGAATCAGTCCTGCCTGGTTTCTGTTAGCTACTTGAGAGGGGGATTGCCAAAAGCTTTTTGTTCTCCACTGCTGCAAGGCTGTGACAGGAGGTGTGTGTTATCATCTTCCAGGCTTTTCCCCCCACTCCCACCTGTGATGGGTGAGAAAAAAGATCACAGAATTCCTGGGGCTGAAAAAGACCTCTGAGATCATCAAGTCCAACCCATGACCTGACACCACCACATCAGGCAGACCATGGCACTGAGTGCCACATCCAGCCTTTCCTTGACCACCTCCAGGGATGGTGACTCTTCCCTGGACAGTCCATCCCATGACTGCTACAATGTGCCTGGACCTAGTTTAAAGTTTAACAGGCACATCATGGTTTTATGTGCTCAGAAAATCTTGAAATTTTTGAACTAGCTTAAGCTTAGGAGAATGGGATTTTTTTGGTTGTAGTTCTGAGGTACATCATGTTCTCTTCATCTGTGCATCACTTGGCATCAGCACCTGTGTTACCTTTTGTGTAGCCATTTAAGGCACCTTCCTGTCTGAAGAGAGCTCTTAAGTAGCAACTCTGACTTAAAAATTAACCTCTGGGGCATGTTTTCCTGAGAACATCTTGACTCTGCTCTGACTTGAAAGCGACTCCAGCTAGAGAACTTACTTGGTGACTTGGCTTTTTAAAAAAATGTTGACTCTATGAACTGATTTGCTTGAGTTGAAACCATTTTAAATCACATTCCTTAATTATTTATTTGCCTGTTCAAGTCTCTCTTTATTAGAACATGAAATATTCAATTGTTGGAGTATCCTTTCAGAAAATTAGCTTCCTTTTTGAGGGATCTCAAGCAATTCTGTACCAGAAAAGATTTAACAACTTCCAAAGGGCTTTGTGGAGGAAAAGGCTGAAACTCATCTTTTCTTTTCTAAAACAGAGTATTTTCTTGTTTAGGAGGCGTCAATAAGATCCTTCTTGTATTTCAAGAATGGACATTGAGATGTACCTATTTTATCCCTAGGTTTTCTTAAAAATTTGATTTGGATTTCACCAGGGCCAAGGGTTGGTGTGTGAGAGGGGTTCACAGACCCCGTGTGCCTTGAAGAAGGCAAGTTGTGATGCTGAGAGTGTAGAGGCAGGGCTGGTGGGGATGGCAGAACTTGGTGGTTTAGTCCCAGCAGTGATAACCCACCTTTAGCCATCCTTAAAATGTCTTCATTGGATAAGATGTGGTTTTTAAAGGACATAAATCTGTCTGATGAGTCGTTACAGGCTCTTCTCTAGGCAGGCATTATGCCCCTACCAGACTGCATTCCCCTCTTCAACAAAAAGAGTTTGTTTTCTTCAGCAAGGAGGCTCCTTAAGAAAAGAGGTTTCCATGGAGACACTCACTTGACTTCAACCATCTGGTCAGGGCTTGAGAAGAGGCTTGGGGGGTAAACACCACATCGACACAAAACCCTGTTATTATGTGAAGCAACTGGGGTTGCTGCAGCATTTTCTTTCCAACTTGCCTCTCTTTTCAGGGGCCTGTTTTTTTGAGAAAGTGCCAAAAATGCTGCCTAGTCAGAAAGGTGAGGTGTAGAAGAGGCTGTTCCTTCTTAGCTGAGATCTCTGTTAGTATCCTAATCCATCTGTCCCTCAAAATGCTGCAGGTCGGTGTAAGTAGGACACATTTGCAGCAAAGTTCTGTGCAAGAGGGAACTGCAATGGCCTGGCAGTGGGTACTGGCTTCCTTAAAGCCAACCATCCTTGGCTGACAGTAAAATTAGTTCAAGAACAGTATTAATTTGAACCTCATTTCTAATTAAGGACTTGCATAATCCATTTGGGCATTAGATGATGACATCTTCAGTGTTAAGATGAAGTCTGATTCTTCATTTCATCGTTCCACCAAGACTTTTTAATGCTTTCCTATTTCAACAGTAGCAGAGTCTATAGATATATTTTGGGGTTGGGAGCCCAGCTGGATCAAGTGGATGGATAAATGATGCTGCAGGAACTTCCTGTGTCTAGCGACAGCTGGGACAGTGTCCAAGGTGGGTTCATGGAGAAGCAGCTGCCAACTGTGACATGAGATAGCAAATGGTGACAAAGTGGCAATCCAGGCAGGAGCTGGAGAGAAAGTTGCTGCCAAAATGTATTCCTGCAGGGAAGTGGTGGGAAGAGCTACAGGAGAAAGTGGAGTTTGTCCATGGATTATTTAGGGAGCTATAACTGGAATTTAATCTTGGTCTAAAGGATAGCAAATGGTGACAAAGTGGCAATCTAGGCAGGAGCTGGAGAGAAACTTGCTGCCAAAATGTATTCCTGCAAGGAAGTGGTGGGAAGAGCTACAGGAGGAAGTTAAGTTTGTCCATGGATTATTTAGTGAGCTATAACTGGAATTTAATCTTGGTCTAAACTGCTGATAATTGGTAGAAATGTTGGATAGAGGGTGGTTAGAAGGATCTTTTTTTGCTGTTTTGTCTCCTGAATTTATAAAAACACCATTCCAGGATCATATTCTGTCACTCACTGTGTTATTTGTGCACGTGTCTGTGGGA